ATATCATGCATGCAAATTCATTCATAAGTCAATGATGCTAAGAGTGGAATAAGAAGAAAGGACAAGCAAGGAACGAGTTGGCTCGATAACATCAATGCTGCTTATCTTGGAGAACTGAAATGCATAAATCCAGGTTTGCTCTGAAGTGTTGAGGTAAGATACATTTATATGATGGCTCTCAAGAAACTAAGCAGAATCAAACTTATAAAAATATTTGGGAGACACCAGAACTGCTAGCTAATGTGGAAACAAAATGGAAGCACACCAGAGGAAATTAGTGGCAAACCATTTCAATGATATTGCCAAGAAGACTCCCTGGACATGAAGTTACCAAAAGTTGAATTTGTTGAAGAAATTTTATGGTACAGAAAGCAGAACATCAGCAGAGGTTGCTAAAAGGTGCCAGTCAGTTCAACAGTTTTCTGGTAACTTTTGGTCATCTGATAAAAAGGCAAACAGCTGAAACTCCATTCACTTCTTTGAGAATCTGGTGAAACCTATAAACTCACTTCTCAGTTAATGTATTCATAGTTTGTCACTTTTTATTTTGCTGTAATATTATAATTTTCATAAGGGCCCTTGAAAGCAAAGATACAATACCTGTTAACAACCCATGGGAAAACTTTAGATGTTCTCTGGCCTTATTTGGTTGCCATGCAGAGCACTTTAGTCATGGCAGCTTTTCATTTTATTTTGTATCTGAATCAGATTTTTAATTTTGAATTGTCTCATCCTTCTTTTACTTTCTTTTATTTAGCTCGGCACACATTTAAGCACGTTTTACATATTGTCTAATCAAACAAACAGAAGGTTGCTTTGCTTTTTTCCTTATAGGTTTATTCATTTCTCCCCCTGAAAGATCTTAACACAAATTACTTTTTCAGACCTGGTATCCATATTTAGACAAATATACCTTTTGTTTATTAGGATTCTAGCAGTGCTCCTGTATTTTGATACCATGTTGGGTTAAATTGTGATCCATAATGAAGACTGGTTCACCAGCTAAGATTAATGGTTTAGAATAGATCAAGTCTATCTTTTGGGCCATTCACTCCTTTGAGAATCTGGTGAAACCTATAAACCCACTTCTCAGTTAATGTATTCATGTGTATAAAAAACAGAGCTAGAACTGTATTGCAAAGGAATACAGAGCTGCAAATACAGATATCAAAATATGAAATAATAGATCCCTCACCCTGTTTAGGCATTGCTTATCAATCTGGCCCCATCCATGTCCAGGGGATGCATTTCCCAGGATTTCCATATCCATTGGGACCTTGGAAATTGCTATTTGGAAAATATCAAGTTGGGGAACATTGATCTATGGAATATGAGATGTTTGCCTATCAGTTTAACACAAGAAAGTGTTTTAGGAAAAGAGGAAACTTGTTTGAAACAGAATCCTTTGTGAATGTAATCCAATCGTTGAATGCTTGATGCTCTGTGAGCTTGGTTGTTTGCCGACATTTTATTCCCCAACTTGTTTGGTGTTAATCCCAGTTTATCTAGGTCTTGGCTCAGTGATGGGATTCAATTTTTTTATTACTGGTTCTGTGGGCGTGGCTTGGTGGGTGTGGCAGGGAAAGGATACTGTAAAATCTCTAGTCAGAGGTGGTATTTGCTGGTTCTCCGAACTACTCAAAATTTCTGCTAACGGTTCTCCAAAATTGAGTAGAACCTGCTGAATACCACCTCTGTCTTGGCTGCTGGAAAGGATATGTTCTGATCTTTTTGCTTCTTTGTAGCTTTTTATCATTTCTTTTGAATGGTCCATAAATGTGGTTTATCTCTATGTGTCTATAGATGGCTGATTTGTCTGACTTCCAAACTTCCAGGAATTCCTTAGCATTTCTGGAATTCGCTTAGTCTAGGATGTTCAGAGGTCCCATTTGAACTATATTTGAGTCTGTCCATGTATTGTACAATTAAATGTTTTTCATTGTGTCTTCTGACTGCTAGTTAGTGTATATGGATATACTCTGCAAGTCTTCAATTTGTCTGGCCTAGGTAGTGGCTGTTACAGTCCTTATACTATATTGTTGTAGATGAGTCCTATTTTTTCTTCTAGCGCTTCTGAGTCTTTTGGTTTACTTAATATATTTCAGAAGGTTTGTATGCTATGATGATACCATGTGGCTCTAAGAGTTTGATGGTTGTTTCTGAGATGTTTTTAATATATGGCAATGCTATCCTTTTCATCGTCTTGTGAGATGGGAAGTTATATAAATTTGATTAATAAATGAAATAAATAGGTTGTGTTGGTTATTCTTTAGAGGGTTAAGTGGTCAGGCACATTTGACAATTCTTTTTAAGCTTTTTTTTCTGGAGTAATTTGTACTCAGACTGTCTACATTGCTTGGTAGAAGGGTTTATTTGCTCAAATGACTAAAGGGAACCATGTTAAATGAACTCAAAGGTCTAGCCACAAAGCAGAGACTTTGAGATCACAAGTAGGGCATAAGGTCAACAATGAACACTATCCATCCTCTCACTGCAGCCACTTTGGGAATGACTCACATACACATTCTCTTTCTCCTTAAACTGAAAGGTCACATAAATTTAGCATGCCTATGTGCTGTTCACCAGTTCGTGGAAAATTACATGCTTAAATGTACCTTCCTCCACATTTATTGAACAAATTTTCAGGAGTCTGGTATAGTGTCTATGGCTTCTTCTTTCACTATTGGTTCTTATAATAAAACAATGAGATAATTTAGGCAGAGAGGTAGTAATTTGTCCAGGTTGACTGATTAGTTTCAGGGACTGAGATTTTTGAATCTGGGCCATCACTATTGTAACCATTTGTATAATACAGACATTATGGAAATCTGGAAAACACTCTGCTGTATGGTAATATAAAACAAATCCATTTACCATTGCAGACAGGAGTTGTGATATTTAGTAACAGATTAATAGAGTCGGAAAGGATCTTGTAGGTATTCTAGTCCAACCCCCTACCCAAGCAAGAGACCCTACACCATTTCTGACAGATGGTAGTCCAGTCTCTTCTCCCACAACTTCTGAAGGCAAGCTATTCCATTGGTTGATTGCTCTCAGTCAGAACATTTATCCTTATTTCTACGTTCAATCTCTCCTTGATTAGTTTCCATCCATTATACCTTGTCTGGTCTTCAGTGCTTTGGAAAACAGATTGATCCCTTCCTCTGTGGCAGCCCCTCAAATACTGGAACACTGCTATCATGTCTCCCCTGGTTCTTCTCTTCACTAGACTAGCCATGCCTGGTTCCTGCACACGTTCATCGAATGTTTTAGCCTCCAGTCCCCTAATCCTCTTGGTTACTCTTCTCTTCTTTTTCTAGAGTCTCAACATCTTTTTTATAGTGTGATGACCAAAACTGGATGCAGTATTATAGGGGTGGTCTTACTAAGGCTTTATAGAGTGGTATTAGTACCTCACTTGATCTTGATTGTATCCCTGTTAATGCACTGTTGACTCATATTTAATTGGTTGTCCACTAAGACTCCAAGATCCCTCTCACAATTACTGCTATTAAGCCTGGTTTCACCCAGTCTATATGTGTGCTTTTTGGTTTTTCTTACCTAAGTGTAAACTACTTTTGTCTACACTGAATTTCATTTTGTTAGATAGGGCCCAGTGTTCAAGTCTTGTCAAGATCCATCTGGATCTTGAACCTATCATCTAAGGTGTTGGCTATTCCTGGCCACTTTAGTATCATCTGCAAATTTGATAAGTTCCCCTTCTATTCCCTCATCTAAGTTGCTTTTGAAGATGTTGAAGAGTACTGGGCCTAAGATAGATCTTGTGGTACCCCATTTCCTTCCCTCCATATAGTTGTAGTACCATTAAGGTTTGTCAGCCAAAAAAGGTTCTTGAGAGAGAGGGGGAGAGGTAGGTAGGTAGGTGGGGAGAAGGAGAGCAAAAGAGGGGGAGGGAGAGAGGGAGGGGCTTTGAACTTGCTTCCTGTGCCTGTGAAAGAAATATATTCTGATTGGTTGTCAGACTCCCATGGGGCCATGCAGGGGTAACTTTGTAGGTTGTCTTGAATCCCAGGCTTGGTTGAATCTTGCTGGGTGGTGTAATGTCCCCAGGTGATTTTGCAATGTACTGAGCCCTACTGTTAGATGGGTAAAGGGCTAATCCTATCATGTCCTAAGGGCCATGTTACAATCCCATCACCGTGGAGCTGAAGTGGGGTGGTGGTGGTAGAGAGCTGCTTTATCTTTAAACATGTCTCCCTTTTCTCATCCAGGGAAATAAAATATTCTGCCTTTTTAATATTTCCTAGAATATTTCATTCTTCTAGGGAGAGGGGTTGGGTGCTAACTTTCTACAGTGGGGAAATATCTCTTTGAATTCAGTTCTTAGTAAACGTATTTATAGCACTGACTTAACTTAGGGCGATCCAAAAGCCAGTTGGGCAGGGAAGGACCTCGTTAGTACTTGGACTGGAGCCCATCAAAAAATCCCGGAGTTAGAAATTAAGACCTCCACTCGGCAAACGCGCGTGGGCTATTTTGCTCCGGAATCTTCGGGGTTGTTTTTTGTCTTCCCAAACCGATTACAGCACTCCCAAATGTATTTAGGGCTTTGTTTTTGTTTTTTGGCGCGCTCGAGCTCTGCAGGATGAGCGGCCAAAATGGGTGGTGGAGAGGGAGGTGTTCTCGATCACAAACGATTTGGGATCGAGGCTGGAGATGTTTTTGTGCCTCCAGGAGTTTGCCAAGGTAATGCAGCATATCCACCCCCCCGAGCGGGCGCGACATAACTCGGCAAACTCCAGGAGGCACAAAAGCATCTCCAGCCTCGATTCCCAAAACATTCGTGAGCGAGAACCCCTCCCTCTTCCTTCCTTCCCTCCCTCCCCCCCATTCCTTGTTTTGGCCGCTCATCCTGCTGAGCGCGAGCCCTACAGAAACCCTCCCCTCTTGCGCGTTTTCCCTTCCGGAATCCAATCCGGAGACTTTCATAAACCGGGAAGTTCGCTCTTCGGGCGGAAAGTCTGGGGCCAAACTTTCGAGTTAAAGAGAAACGAAAGTGAAAGTCAGGAGCTTGTGCTTCGCTTCTAGCTTCCAGAGAAGTTCTACGCAGCCATGGCCCAAGCAAACCGAGCAATCCGGTGAGAGCCTCTTACCCTCCCGCTTCCCCGGCAATACCCCCCCCCCCCCCCAAAAAACCCCCTTCTTTAAGTATTTCAGTGACGGTCTGCAACTAGGGGGGAAAAGGTGGAGTTCGAGCGGATCTGACTGCAGGTTGTAAAACACGCGCCATCACTTCTCTCTTTCTGGAGACTGAGAATGCGATGTGACGAAGCCAGCCCCACCTAATCAGTCCTCAGAAACCACAGTTTACGGATCGAATCGGATTGTCCAGAATATAGATTCTCACGGTGAAAATCACAGAAACCCGGTTCGCCCAACCCGCTCGGTTGTTTATACGGGTTGATTCAAAAAGAACAAAACAAAAAACGGAACTGCCCTTTTCTTCTGAAAAGAGGAAACACAATTGACTTAGGAAACGCAGTATTTGCAGCAACTCTGGAGAACATAGAAGAAAACCTATGAAACCCCCCCACCCCGATTTTTTGTTAAGAATTTAGGGCAGAGGTCTCCAAACTTGGCAACTTTAAGACTTTAAGACTCCCAGGATTCTGGAAGTTGAAGTCCACAAGTCTTAAAGTTGCCAAGTTTGTGGACCTTCAACTCCCAGGATTCTGGAAGTTTGGGGACCCCTGACTTAGGGCTTAACATTGAATCATGAGGCTGCTCATTTAATCTTGTATGCATAGTGGCCTCAGGCTTTGCTCATAGTTTGCTTAAGCATGGTTTATTGAATAAATTACCTGAGTCACACCATTATCTGAGTTCACCCAACATGCTAATAACCTCTAGTTTACAAACTGGGTTCATGGGTATGCAGTAACCAGCCACATTATGACTGCATTCTTACAATACATTAGTTGTATAAGTATTGTATGAGATGTTACATACTCATTGTGATTTACAAGCAATCTTTATGGAGTTGTGATGGTCAGCTTGTGGCCTCAGGATTGCAAGAGGTCTTTTTGTGACTCTTGGAGATTTCTCTGACCATGAATACTGAAAATCATAGCCCCTTTTGCAGATGTGAGTTGGGGTATGCATAAAACCTCTAATTTATCAGAACCAAATTCTAATCTAGACCAAACCAGATTGTGGGCCCTCAGCCTTTCAAAAATTATCAGTGTGCGCTGTGGCCATCAAAAAATTGTCCACCCCTGCAATAAACTAGTTAATTTATTGACTCAGGATTGTGTGTGGTACAGTTATAACTCCTGGGGGAAGTTGGCTTTCCTTTCAGCATAATTTATTTACCTTTTGTCTGTGTCCCCGTTCATTTCAAATTAACCACATGTTTTGGAAAAAATAAGAAGATTGCTCATTGCTTTGAGACAAGAAAAGCTAATGGTCACAGGAATTTAGCCTCATTTATCACAAATCGTATCTGGACAACAAAAATACAGACAACTATTAGAAAACCACAAAGAGAGTTTTCAAGATGTCTCTTTTTGTCATCTGAGTCCCGATTTATTAGGCCTAGCCTGATTATATTTGAATGGTTAATTGGCTATGTTTTCCTTAGTGTTAAATATTGGATGCATGAGAATGATTTCAATGTCTCAGGATACTGAAAAGGGCAGACGCTTATCCCCGACTTTTATCTATAAAAGTTCAGCTTTGTAGTACAATGGTAAAGAAACTACATTTGGACCAGGAAAATCGGGCTTCATGTCTCCATGTGAACCTGGAGCTGGCTGAGAGACTTTGGACAAGTTAGTCTTTTTCAGTCCAGCCTCCTGATAAAATTGTTAATGAGGATCAAGTGAAAGGCATTTTCAAGAGAGAGGAAAAAAAGGAAATAAAGTGGTGTGTGCTATGTTACATCTTCTCTTTCTCTCCTATAGCAATACTTCAAATCATAAATATTATGGAACTATTGATCCTGCTCCGGAGACTTTTGGTATGAGATTTAAGCCATCACTAACAGCAAGTATTCTAAATATTGCAAGTGAACCCTGCAACATAATAAATGGAGATGTTATGGCCATCAACCCTGCTTAAGATAGGTTAAGTTCAATCAGATAAAAAATGATTGTGGCTGCATCACTTGAGCTTCTGTAATTTATTCCTTTAACATGCAACCCCAGTGTATTTAGCGGGACTTCCTGTATGCTCTTTAGAGCCCATGAGAACTCCAGATCAGATTGGCTAAGGTAACTGCACCTGCCTTGCTTCTAAAAATATGTTAGAAGCACATTGGATCTGAAGCCAAAAAGCAGCTTCAGGATATGCTGAATATGATCAACATCTCACAGAAGCTGGATCTTTTCCTAGCCTTGTGTGGTAATCTGCACAATCCTCAGGAAGACACGTGTCTTTAATCATCTTTAATTCAAACGTGTTTTTTTTTGTTCCTGAGAGCTTCTATATGGCTTCCATAGGGAGATGCTCACAGCTCTGACACTCAACTTCTCAGATTCAGATTCAAAGCCCTGCAAATCCCTGCTTGTCAATTATTAGCAACAGGAAGCTTTAATACCTTCCAGGAAACAGCTGGAGTTGGCAAGCTGTGGTTCTCACCATAACCAATAACTTCAACACCATAGAGACTGAAACAGATTCTAGCGGCCTTTCCCCCCCTTAACAGCCAATAATCTTCCTTTCACTGCAGTAGAATAGTCCAATTTAGGCACTGTGGGAGTTTCTTCTTCAAATTATTTGGGACACAGACACTTATATTACCCATAAATAGGAAAATTGTGACATATAATACATGTATTTTCTCAAGAATTATTTTCTTGAATAGTTCCAGCATTTACCTCCATCCCTACCCCTTCCCATTTTTGACAGGATTTATCATTTCACTCCAAAATATAAATTGTGACATCTTGTGGGTTTTATGTGTGTGTGGGTTTTTTTTTTTTTTGCTGAAGGATATTTCAAATGTTATTTAAACATAGCTTGCCACCCTTAAAACTGAAGAACTGCAGGCACAGGATTTTTGCTCTTTCTCCTCCCAGTCTACTTCTTAATGTTACCCTGTAAATTTTAAGTTGGCACATTCTGTCCACAAGTACCAGTTCTTTGGCACCAGCAGAGCGTTTTCCTTTAGCAGTTGCCTCCCCAATCTCCTTGATCCTTCTCCATCCAAGCAGACATAGACAAAGCCCTTTAGCAGGTGGTGGTCAATTTTACCTGTCCCAAATGCAGACTTAGAGACACAAACACAGGAGTTATTTGCTATAGGGCTACCTAATCTGGACCAAAAAGATCTAGGAGATGTCAAGGAAAGAGATACAGAAACCAGTGAGTCTTTTGTGCTGTGTGTTCGTTATGAGTTTTGCAGCTGGAAGCCTGCTGCTGCAGATAAGAGCTAAAACAGTTTTGATGCAAAAATGAAACTTGTTTGGGGGAAGTAACAACAGAGGGCTTCTGCTCCACGTCTAGCTCGGCCCTCGTGTTAGTAAGCTCATTGGGAGGGTGGAGGGGGAAGAAACTAACCGGATGTAAATTCATCGGTATGCAACAAAGCACTTGGCCGGGAAGAACAAACAGCTTTGAAACGCCTGGGGAATTCAGATAACTGGCAGAAAGGTAAGCTGAATTTAAGGAGAGGAAGCCTACAAAAAGACCCCCAAAGTATGGTCTTTTAGGGGAGAGAAAGCCAGTGGGAGAGGCCCTTGTACCGGGGGAGAGGAAATGTAGTTGTAGACTTTATAGCAGCGTTTCTCAACCTTAGCAATTTTAAGCTGGAGGGACTTTGATTTCTATAATTCTCCAGCCAGCAATCCTGGTTGAGAAATTCTGGGAGTGGAAGCTTAAAAGTTGCTAAGGCTAGGAAACACCATTTTACGTTGATTGTCTGCTTATAGTACATTGAGCTGTAACATACAGTGTTTTTGATGAATCCCTCCTCGGCCTGTGGTTGGTGTTGGGATCATTCTCCAGACAACGCTTGCAAGATTCTCCCACATCCAGCACAAATTGGACTGGACTCTTTCACAGTAGCAGATAAAAGGACACTCTTCCACTGCATTCAGCAGGTGTGAATTCGAAATTCATCCCTGGAGGAAAAAACAAAGTTGACTTGTTGCAAGTCATTTTTCCTCCATGTATGACTGCAGCCTAATACGCTGCAAACTGAAAACTAGAGTGCCAGGAACAATGGGGATTTGCGAAGCGGGTGTGGTTTGAATCTGCAGGAAGAAGGAGGGAAGGGGTTTTGCTTTGTTGGGTGAGAGACAAAGTGCCAAGGCAGAGATCCAGAAGCAGCTCCACATAGCTTTCCATTTCCTCCACTTTCTCTGTTACTAGTCACATCTCTTCTGCCCCTTGTCTTGATGACTCTTCCTAATCTTTGACCATATCTGGGGCTGAATAAGATCAAATGAGGAAAGGAGCTGGGCTGTTCCATAGGCCCTTGTTTTGGTGTCATTTTCTGGGTTGAAAAAAAGAAATCAGATCTAGAGAATTGAGAAAGATTCCTTGCTTAGTTGCTCCTTTATGGTGATGAGACCAGCAGGAAGGAAGGTTATCCTGCTGTTCCACAAATCACAGATGGATCTGTTGCTTGCAGTTTCAGATCTTCCAGACTGGTACCTATTTGTTTGCTTCCCCTATCTTGTTTTTCTTTCCCCTTCTTCCCTTCCACTGCTCTTCCTTTATTCTCTTCCCTTTTTTTCTTTACAATCCTAGCTCTTGGTTTTTCTTGTTTTGCTTTTTCTAAAAACAACAACAACACATTGGCACAGGAATGTGAAAATCAGGTATCTGCCTTCTAACTAAAGCATTTTCAGAAAAGCTTTGGGAAGCTGCTTACATCTCATGAAAGTAGCTGCTGCTCATGAAAGCTTATGCCTTTTGATAAAATTGTTAGTTGGGAAAGTTACTACCAGACTCTATTTGGAACCATAGTAGACTGATGGAGCTCCCTTCCCATAATGGCTTCAAGAATAGAAGGAGATTCCTTCATCTTTGTCCCATGCTATAAAAATGGCCTGGCTTTTTTTTTTTTAATAAAGATTTTTAATTGGCCTAATTGCTACCTAATGACTTTTTGCCTTGTAATAATGAGGAACTGGTATTTAAGGGAATATTCATTTTATGAACAGAGTGATGCTGTGGCCTAGAGGTGAAGATGCTTACCTCCCACTTGGAAGGTTGAGAGTTCAATCCTCTGCAGCTGTTTTTCTCTATCAGGGTGCGAAGAGAAAATATCTGCTGTGAACTCCACATAGGCACCAGGAAAGGGAATGGTATGCACCCAGTAAACGCTCAGCTCCGTCCAGTCACCCTGGTTCCACTCCAAATGAAAGGATTAAAGATTCGTGAAAAGAAAAAAAAATCATTTTATGAATAGCTTCCACGGCAGCTATTTCTTTGGTCCTCTGAATTCAAAATGACGTCACTAGTCAAGAAAGATTTCCAGTACCTATCAGACAGGCTAGCTCAGAAGTAAGTCCCATTAAATTCAGTGAGCTTTCCCCCCTGAACAAGTATGGAAATCAGCTCTACAAGAGTAGCTGAGCAAAAAGCTTTCTCAAACAGAGGAAATGTGCTTCACACAGGTATGCATACTCCTTCATGGAGAGTTCTGGCCATATACAAAATGATAGTAAACATATCAGAATAATGAAACAGGTTCTTTCAATAGACTGGCTAAATTCTTCTTAGACTGCAATCCTACACAACAACAACAGTAATAAATAGCCTCCTTTTTAATAATAAAATCACTAAGTTGTACCAAAAAAAAATAGATTATAGCATGACTGCAAAATTAAAAGAAGTATAAAGTGGCTGGTTTTCATAGAATACCTTATGCCACCAGACTTGAAATTCTAGAACTAGAAAACCTTGAATTACGCCGTCTTCGGTCTGACTTAAGCATGGTATATAAAATCATACATTGCAATGTCCTACCTGTCAATGAATACTTCAGCTTCAACCATAACAACACAAGAGCACACAATAGATACAAACTCAAAGTTAACCGCACCAAACTTGATTGCAGGAAATACGACTTCAGCAATAGAGTGGTCAATGTCTGGAATACTCTACCCGACTCTGTAGTTTCTTCCCCAAACCCCAAAAACTTTAACCTTAGACTGTCTACTATTGACCTCACCCCTTTCCTAAGAGGCCTGTAGGGGGCGTGCATAAGCGTACCAACGTGCCTACCGTCCCTGTCCTATTGTTTCTCTTATTCTTCTTTTATTTTTCTTATATGTACCCATTTCATGTATTCACAACTATGTATACACTTATACTTATTATCTTGTAAACAATTGGCAAATCAAATAAATAAAATAAATAAATAAATAACCTTTTTTGGCTTTTAATCACAGATGACTAATTTTTGGCTTGTCATTGGATTTCCTAAACTGGAGCCCAGCAATAGTCTTGGGTTGTGCAACAAAGGACTTGAGTTGCAAAATATCTTGAAAGTTTTAGAACATAAAAAGTCAGACAGGATATTCTTCATCAGAAGTAGATTAAAATTAAGAGTTCTGTAAAAAGAAATAAAAATCATCACACGCCATTTTGACTCTCCCTTTCTGGGAAGGCTGTAAGCGTCGATTTGTCAGGCATTTTATCCCTATTACAGGAAGTCCTAGACTTACAACGGTTCCTTGAGTTCAGAGTTATAACAGCACTGAAAAAAGGTGACTTATGACCATTTTTCACGCTTACGACCGTTGCAACTCGTTCATGTTTATGATGGTTGCAGTATCCCACAGTCATGTGCTCCCCTTGTGCAACCTTCTGACAAGCAAAGCCAATGGAAAAATCAGATTCACTTAACAACCATGTTAACAACACTTAACAACCATGTTATTACTTAACAATTGCAGTGATTCACTTAACAGCTGTGGCAAGAAAGGGGGTAAAATGGGACAAAATTCACTTAAATGTTTCACTTAGCAACATAAATTTGGGGCTCGACCATGGTCATAAGTCGAG